AATTACTACACTAGCTTTTTTTTTCCTTCTGTTTTCTTGAGAAAGCAGCTACCTCCTACAGCAAGCACTGAGGATTATTCTGTGAGGAAGCAGTGCACTATAATGTCAATAATTAGAGGTCAAGGTGCAATCCCAAATGTCCTTAGCTTTCTTTAGTTTGCCTTTGAGGATGCTGTATCTTTGAATTTATATGAACACATTTAAGCACATTTCTTTTTTTTTTTTTTCAACGTTTATTTATTTTTGGGACAGAGAGAGACAGAGCATGAATGGGGGAGGGGCAGAGAGAGAGGGAGACACAGAATCGGAAACAGGCTCCAGGCTCTGAGCCATCAGCCCAGAGCCTGACGCGGGGCTCGAACTCACGGACCGTGAGATCGTGACCTGGCTGAAGTCGGACGCTTAACCGACTGCGCCACCCAGGCGCCCCTTAAGCACATTTCTTGAGTTAACCAGTCTTACATCTCCATCGTATCTCTTATTCAAGTTTCTGGGATGTCCTCTGTATCGAATTGAGAGTTAGTAAACTCGTGTATTTGCTCCTTCTCTGGATCCAGTTCAATAAAGATCTGTCAAGATATTGCCTTTTGTAGTTTAATAACTATTACAATGAATTGCCAGATGCCTTTACTTATTCTGAAAGCAATTACCTGGCCTATTTAAAAAAACCACTTTCCAAATCTATTCCCATTAGACTTTCCACCAATCTATATGTTAATATTTAAAGTTCCTCATTAGTACAAAGTCATCTAACTTTTCATGCTCATGAATCTCCTCCAACATCTCCAGCTCAAGTTTAGCATTATGCGCATTCTTGTTGTTATTGTCACTGATTTTGTCATTGTTGTTGTCAAAAGGAGGACTTTGTTCTTTTGGAGAGGGTGCCCTAGTCTGTCTTATGTAAAGTCTTCTGAATCCTTCATACCTCACCATCTCAGCTATGCATTGACAGTAATGTTATTTTTTTTTTTCTATTTTTGCACCACGGAATGAGAAAAGTTCAGGAAAATGCCTCAGCTTACCTCCGAGTTACTTGAAACACATGGAAACCCAATGTTTAATATTCTGTATCTTCATTTGTCCTTGGAAATGCTCAGTCATCTTTGGCAAAATCATTCTGTCTATGAACTACTGAGGGCCAAACCCTTGGATGTTAGTGGAAAATCTCAGTCTGCCTCTCTTGATAGTCACAGATTTATTGTACAGAACCCAACTGGTAATAATTTTGAGGACCTAGGTACATTTCCAGTTCCCTTCCAGCAAGCCCCTTAGATTTTCAAAGTAAAAGAAGAATATGTTCATTTATCTAGCTATCCAAAAATAGTCAATGCATGGCTTCCCAAAGACCATTCATTCAGTTGGTCTTTACACTGCTACCAGCATAAAAGTCCACCCCCAATTTTTGTGCATTTGTCTTCTGCCTGTGGACGAAAAGTTATAAACCATATAGACAAGGACTACATCTTCCTGCTGGTCTAGCACCTTACTAGTTCTTATTAGAACATTAGTATTGAGGTGGAAAGATGAGAGATATTGCAAATGATAAATGACTCCCACAAGATTTGTCTTAGTATTTATCATGGTTCATGTTTTATGGGTGAAGAAACACAGTAAGATCGTAGTGGTTGTTAAGACATGCAAATAAATATAATGAGTCACTGGAAGTTGGAAAATAAAAGTTATAAATACCACAGTTTTTACTAGATTATCCTCCTTGGTAGGGGCTGAGATGGGGAGAATTTGCAGGACAGTACAATGTTTTAAGAAAGACTGACTGCTATAATATATTTGAAAACACAATGATGTGCTTAAGAATTAAGTTAAACTAAGAATTTAGGCAAGGATTCCAAAGGATTAAATATGAGCAGTGCTGTTGTTAATCTAGAAACTGTAAAAGATAGATTACATGGTAGGATTCCCAAGGATTCTTTGAAGTTGAAAAGATATATTTTGGAAAAGAATTATGTTAAATAATTTATAAGAAAATAAAGTGAAGAATCATACTAAACAAGTATCTTCTTCTGGCTAGGTACTTTATATATTCTCACTTAATTGTCAAAATAAATAAGAAAGACTAGTTCACTTTGTCCTCGAAAAAGCTCAGACTCAGGAAAGTAAAGTAACCAGCCCAAGGGTACATAGCTCACGCTCTTTCATCCACCTCACATCATTTCTATGAATAACCAATCTGCTCAAATATTCATGGAAGTTGAATTTAATGTTGGTATCTTTATAAAGTGAGTTAAGATTCAGTATTAACTGAATTTCAGCATTGGATCGTCAACCATAAATCAATCAATAACGCTATTTGACTGTCTATGTCTAATGTGAACAAATGATGGAGATATTGAAGATTCTGAAGGAAAATAATATCTTATTCCTGAGATGGATGGCATCTCTTTCAGATGTGCATAAATCTATGGAAAAATATATACACCTACAGAATTATGGATACACCCAGAATCATTTTGTAAGCCAAAAATCAGAAGGAAGTGACTGGTGATAAATGTTGGAGTGACCCGAGTTAAAGTAGTCCAGATATGTTTATGTCTAGGAATCAAATTTTATAAATTTAAACGTGATATAGGTGCTCACTATGTGCCAGACATAAGTGACCATCATTAATCCTCATACCAACCTTGTAAAGTAGGTGCTAATACTATCTCGGTTTTACCAGTGGCAAAACTAAAGCAGAAAAAAAGAGTCCAGCATCTTGGTCAGGTTTCCAGAGCTGGTAAGTGGCAGAGCTGGGATTTAAACTGAGGCAGTACCAAAGTTGCTGCTCTTACGTTCACCTTATACCTTCAATGTCAGTATGCCATGTAAGTAAGCAGTCTATATTTATCTTAGGACATAAAGATTAGGATTCCCTAACCCTTACTATAAATTTTACATGTGAACATACTTCACCATTGTTCTTAGAGGAACACATTCATTAATTTATTCAACATATTTACTGAATACCTACAATGTGGCATACACTCCTCATGTGGGGGGACAGAACAGTGAACAGGACACACAAGGGCCCTGCTCTGTTACACTCACAGTACCAGGCACTCAATACATGTTAACAGTGTAGTACAATGCATTTTAATTTCAAAAATAATGTATGTTTTCATTGGCTTGGATAAATTATCTACATCACTTTCCTTAATCCAAGTTACCCTTATAATCTACCTTTAAAAATTAGTTTTTAAACTAAACAAAATTTCTATTAAGTAGAAAGGTTTGGGGGATTCCTACTTAGAATCAGAGGAGTAGTTAAAACACTCCTACAGTCTTAAAATGATTCTCTGAATGGGGCATTAAATCATGTACCTTTGTAGTAGTTATATTTTCATAATAAGATATGCCACTCTTGTCCACTTAAGGAACCATTCCCTCCCACTGCTCCAAACTGCTTATTATACATGTTGTTCAGTGTCTTTTACCCAGTAAGTAGCTATTAAAGGATTTTTAATAACATGTGGAGAATAAGGTATCCTACATTAAAGAAATTCACGCTGCCATTACTTCCCCAAAATACCAATCATTTGCCAAATTTAAATGGCCTTAGTAGCCTACCAATGTTGCTTTTTCCTATTACAAAGACCCACCTCTAAAAATCATCAAGTACAACCCATTAAAATGAATGAATATTCTAGAAACCTGCTAGGGTAATCTACATTTTAATGAGACGGAAAGGGCTCTAGGAATATTTCCATTCCCTTGTCTCTTACATATGTTTCCTTACCTGCCCTCTAGAGTGGAGGATGTGAGCAGTGTCAGGCTCCGCTAAGATCCTCCCCCACCTCCACCCCCACCCCCAAGTTTGGTGCCTAAGCTTGCACGCAGGGACCCACATGGCATCACGGAATGGGCTCTTTACATATATGCAGTGCCATAGCTACTTACAGAGCTATGCACACGCGTGTATGCCCATGTATGGGTGTGCTTCGTACGCCTGTGATGGGACCCGCGTGGGTCTCCCTCTCCTTTCCACCTGACCGGTGGGGAATCCCAGCAATTCCCCGGAACTCAGGGAATAGTGAGATGAGGTAAATAGCTCTTTTCCCTTCCCTGGTGGCAGGCACCGCTGGGTGCCAGGAATCTGCAATGCCTCTTCTCACAAGCAGCTAATAAAAGGAGACTGGGAAGATGAGCAAGTGGAGAATACATGAACGAGGAAAGGGCCGTTGTACGAAAGATGATGCTTCGGGAGCTACTGAACTATGATTGTGTTTCTACATTACAAAGCCCTAGGAAGCTAGAGGGGAGGCAGAGAAACTCCGAATCTAAAATGCTCTGAGATCATTTTTCTAATTGTGCCTAGAAACCACCGCTTGGCGTGTGTCCTGCGCGGGGTTAAAGAATCCAAGCGAGCGCCGGCTGAAACTCGCCGCGCGGCATCCGGCACTTTGAGCTTCGGTGGCGTTTGCGCTCCGAAGACGCGTCCACGCACCATTTTCCCAGGCGTTGTGCGGGTTTCTTAAACAGCCCAGCTGCTGCCTCAGAAAGGAGTTTCTAGAAGCTCCTTCTCTACTGCCTCCCCTCCCCCATCCTAGGGCTTTGTAATGTAGAAACACAATCTTTTGGTTTTTACCCCCGCGAGGAGCTTCTCCGGCTCCACTGCGTCCGCCCTCCGAGGGGTACAGGTGCCGCTGTCCCTACTTCTGCCGCTCCGTCCACCGACGCCGCCTCCTCCGGGCGGGCCTGGGGGCTTCACCCGGCGCTGCTGCATCGCGAACGGTCTCTCGCTGGGCGCTGCGGCCGCTGCCCAGCGCCCGGGACTCCCCGCCCTCCCGCGCGACCCCGCGCCCGGGCGGGCGGCGCTAGCGGCGGGCGGGGGGCGGGGAGGGGAGAGGGGGCTCGTCTGGGGGTAGCCGCCTCCTCTGCAGCCTGCTGGCGCCTCGAAACCCGGACCTGCCTCCGCCTCTTCCTCCAGCGACTCCATCCCTCCTCCCGCGCCTCGTCCTCCCGCCGCCCCCGCCGCCGCGCCCCCGGTGGCTGCCTCGGCGGACCCGGGAGGGGGCCCGCCGCGTCCGCCGCCCGCTCGGCTCGGCCCGGCCCGGGAGGCGTGCATGCCCCTGCTGCCCGCGGCGCTCACCAGCAGCATGCTCTATTTCCAGATGGTGATCATGGCAGGGACGGTGATGCTGGCGTACTACTTCGAGTACACCGACACGTTCACCGTGAACGTGCAGGGCTTCTTCTGCCACGACAGCGCCTACCGCAAGCCCTACCCGGGCCCGGAGGACAGCAGCGCCGTGCCCCCCGTGCTCCTCTACTCGCTGGCCGCCGGCGTCCCCGTGCTCGTGGTAAGCCCTGGGGGGCCCGCCCTGGCGTCGGACTCCCTTCTGTCGCCCCTCACCTTCGGGGTGGAGGCCCCGCTGAGGGTCTGGGCGCGGCAGCTTTGCCTTCTAAGTTCCTCCAAGTTGTGGGCAGCCCCTTCCCCAGAGGACATTCTTCTAGGGCGCGTCAGGGGTGGGTGCGAAGGAATCCCGCACCTCTCCCCACATGCCACCCCCGCACCCCCTGCTGCGGCTGCAGTATTGGGTGGCGGGGAGGAGGATGAGAGGGAAGGGGGCCGTGGGAGGTGATGGGTGGGGGGTCGGAGCTGGGGAGGAGGTGAGCCCTTGGGATGAATTTCTACTTCCTCCACTCAGTGGCCTTGCTCCGCTGGCCGCCTGCTCTGAGATTGCCCCTGGAAGATGAGCAGCGGCGGGCCGGCGGGGAGGAGAGGGCATCAGTTGCTGGGGTGTGGAGGGGACTCCTGCTTCCTGAGTCTGGGCGCGTATTCCCGTTTTACCACCGCCTTCCCTTTCACATGAAAGTGCCAGTGGGACTAAGCTGACCAGGGAACAAATAGCTAAAAAAGAATGTTGAAAACTGCTAAGTGGAACGGTCCAGCAGCAGTGCTTGCTGAAAAGCAGGAGCTGTGTCCAAATTACAAGATTCATTTAAAGGCTGCTCCAGTCTAATCTCTGGGCATCTTAAGTCCTTATCTCTGATAGCTTTGCTTAGAATGCCTTGGAGGTTTTGGGACTGTGTGTGTGTGTGTGTGTGTGTGTGTGTGTGTGTGTGTGTATAAGGACATACACGCATATACACACACGTATAATTATTAGAAGGATTACCACATAATAATTTACATATGTGAATATGGTGCAAAGTTATTGGTAGAACTGGTGGTGTTTCTTAAAGAAAACATTATGGTTCCTCTGTTATTGTCAAAGTATTGGAGGTTTCCTTCCAGTGGTACCGCTTCTCTCTCTCTCTTTCAACTCTCAATAGATAGCAAACAGGAAATTGGAAAATGAAGAGGACAGGGAAGAGGAAGTTTTATTTTAGTGGCTGAATGTGTACATTTTAACAATGAATGTTGAGAACATCGATGATATATCCTGGGTTTGGATATTCATGTTTGCTTTGATTTTAGGGGAAATGATTTAATATTTTTTCCAAATAATGGGAAGTTCCTAACACACATAATGGAATCCCACCAAGGAACTTCTTGATAACTTCAAAGTAACTTCGTTTATCACAGGTACCATGATAGTTGACTTGCACCAGAAAACGTTTTGTTTTGTTTTAGTGTTGTAATTTTCTAGAAATCCAGCTTCATGTTTGTGTTCTCTTCCATTTGAAAAACTGAAAAAAGAAAGAAAATGTAGTCATTGGAGGGATTCTTTCTGCTTTCTGCAGATGTTGGGTTTTCAGGCACATGTTTTCTGGGTGACTAAATAGCTCAGGGTTTTTTGTTTTTGTTTTTGTTTTTTTAAGAAAAAAGCCTGTCACTTTTAGGTCACTTGTTTGGTTGCAACCATAATCAATAATGTCTGTAACGCTTCCCTTGGTAATTACTGTTCTGTGTCTTATTTAAATGAGATAGCACTCTTCAGATCCTGACCACCCATCCTTGGTGGCAAGTGTCAGTTAGAGACAAGAACGTATTGGCCCAAAGATGTTGATTATTTCCTACTAGGAGGAGAAAGGGAATTAGTCATTACTGAGTGCCTACTTTGGACTGATGGCATTTAGTCCTCAGTGCATTCCTCTCCAAATAACATTTGAGGACGCTGAGGATCAGATAATAAAATGGAAGGAGCTGAAAATAAAAATGGGAGGTGTGGTGTTTTTATGCCCATGGGACTGGCACCAAATGCCATAGTACTTCTACTGCTTCCAGAGAGCATGTTCTCAGAAAGAGGATGAGAGGGCTGATGCGGCAGGCATGGAGAATAAAAATTGAGAGGTTTTAAAAGGGAGGATCTCACTTGATTCCCATCATATTTTGACGTTCAGTCCTTTAGTTGCAAGAGAAAGAATTTGGGGGGGGTCAGTCTGAAGGGAAGGAAGTGTTGGCTTTTAGAGGCTACCTTCGCTGCTGGCCCTTGTTTTCCCTTCTGCTTTTCCAAGCAGTATGTTCTCATAGTAATGGCAGTCCTGCCTTTCCATTCCTCTTGAGAATACTGGCTTGGCACAGTCACTCTACATGGAAATGATGTTATCAGTAATAATACTAGTAATGCCCATGATTTGTCGCGTTATATACCTTATACCCATTTAATATTTGCATTATCTATGAAAGCAATTATTATTCTTGTCACCTAACATTTGCAAAAACTGAGGCTTAGAAAGGTAAACTAATTGCCCAAGGACCAGGGCTAAAAATGTCCTACTCAGAATTGTAACCCTACTTTGTTGAACTCCCCAGCTGGAGTCTTTTCTATTATAATATACAAATTCAGCTTACTCATAAGTCATGCTTCTGAATAAATGCCTCAAACAGTCTCTGTCCCCATCGCTTACATTTCTTGGACTGTAGTGATGAAGCTTCTTCATATTGTATATTTTTTTACCCTTCAAACATCATTTTTAATTCTTTAGATTAATTTGAAAAGTAGCTCTCCTCACTACCACAATCAGTGGCTTTGTTTCACACTTGCTAAATTCATTTATCTAAAAATCAAAAGCAATATGTATTTTTAGTTTTATCATTTTTATGTAGTATTGTTTTGGGGCCCAGGTTTGGAATCTAACAAATTTGGATTTAGATTCAAAGTGCTTCCTGTTGCGGTGTTAACTGTTGGGAACCCTACTTGCTGTGTAACCTTGAACAACTTTGTTTAATCTTGTTAAGCCTCAACTTCCTAAGTCTCAGGATTGTGCATATTAAATTAGATGTAATACATGAATGTCATCCTTTGGCCCATAGTGGATACTTCATAAGAGATAAGAGATCAGTAAATCATCAGCATTATTAATGAAGTGATAATTCAGTAAATGTTTATTGAATTCCTGTGTTTCAAGACAGAGTAGAGGTTATAAAGAGAACTTCAAAAATAAACCAAACTCCTAAGGAGTTTACAGCCTAATTTGGGAAATCAAGTAAATATGCCAAGGTCATAGTATAAATCACCATAATAGAAGTGTGTACACACACACACACACACACACACACACACACACACGTACACACGCCACAAAGACTTCCGGTGGTTCAGAAGAAGATAAGATCATTTTTATTTGGAGGGGTGGGGAAAGGCTTCATGAAGAAAGTGGTGGCATTTGAGATGTGACTTGAAGAAGAGTCTGGAGTGGAGTTTGAGTTGGGACATCACAGAAGCAGCTACCTGGACAACCACTTGGTAGCAGAAAATGCAGGCTGTACTCTTGAAGCAGCAGTTGGTTTGTCTTGTTTCTCAGAGTGTTGTGTGGGGAACACAGAGGTTATATGGCTGAAGAGGAAGACTAGGGTCTCATTAGTGAGTCCTGGAATGGCAGGCTGAAAGTTTTTCTCAATCTGTTGGGAATGGACTAGGGACATTGTCTGATGGGTGGTGTTTTAAGACATTTTGGGGACAGTAAAAACACCAAAAAAGAATTTTGAACTCTTATCCTACAAGCCTATTTGTGTTGTGAGATATTAGTTTAATTGTGTTTTCAGAAAATGCCTATAATTTGGGCTCATTTACAAAGACATATTGTATAAGCTCTTTGACAATGTCCTGTTCAGTTTGATCTGTGTAGCATTTGCTAAAGCACCACATATGGAATTTATAGATACAAATTTAATTAGTGATCTTTGATTTTTTTCATTGATTGAAAGAACTGGTGGTGACAATGGTTTCTGCTCCCCAAATTTGGATACAGTGGCCATGAGCAGCTATTTTTTGCTCCTTAGATCATTAAGCAACACGGGTGATTTGAAGGAGACCAAAGCTAGAGCGTTCTTCATAGAGCCAGAACCAAGGCAGAGAAAATCCAGCAGGGAGCAGGGTGGGTTTGAGGGTTAGGGAGTATCTCTGATTCCTATATCTGCATTCTCAGGAAACTCCCTTTGGACTCTGAGGTTCCGAGGGATATAGCTACTGCTGCTATCCCAAGGGTATCGCATCACTAAATGTGGCCGAGATACATGATGACAGAAAGGCATTCTGTATCCAGGGCTCCATCTTGTTAGATCAGAGTGCCTAAAGCTTTCCCATAGACCTCTTCTCCTGTGAACCTTACCTTGAGTGCTCGCTCCTATTTCTACTCCTAGAACTCATGCCTGTGGCCTGGTGCAGGAGCAGCATGGATATGGATGTCAGACAAGTCTAGATTCTTATCTGCATTTCTCTCACTTACTATATGTGTGACCTTGGGCAAAATTTTCTTACTCATAAACTGGAGATGAAAATGCCTACCTCTTGGAAGGCAGTGCATGTAAAGGTTAAGATCACAGACTCTGGAGTCAGACTGTTTGGGTTTGAAGCCCAGATCTGCCACTTTCCTACTGTGTGAACCTGAGCCAGTCTTTCTAGGCTTCAGTTTCTTCCACTGTAAAATGGAGATAATATGAGTATTGGCCTCATAGGATTATTAAGAGTATGAAATGGGTTAACATATATGTCAGAGTAGTGCCCAGCTAACTACGTGTCACCTACCATTAGTCCTCTCCAGGTTGTGATGATTAATCAAGATAATCTAAGGCACCTAGCAAAATACATTTGTTAGTGGATTCCAGGGCTGATGAAATACTAGACGTGGACAGAGGCCACCTAGCTCAGTCCACTCACCCACAAAAATTGGGGTGTCTGAATTGCAAGAATAGCAAAAATCAGAACTCTGTTATTGACCTCAAGTAATGATTCCTACCTTTGATGACTCCTCTATTTTTTCAAGTAAGCTGACACTAGCTAATATCTCCTATGCACCAGAAACTGTGCTAGATACGTTTAATGCTCACTATTGTAGTACTTTCTTTAAACACAAACACTGTCATTAAATCCACTTAAAAATGAGAAATAGGATGTTTAGTGGGATTATGTAT